AAAAGACATTCACTTAAAATGTTTGTTACGTGCTGTTTGTTGCTAGCATCACTATGGGGGTTACTTGCATCTGCTTTTTGCCAAGTCCCGACATTATTCTTCATTCAAATCCCTGTCATCAGTCATCATTGCTTAATTGTTTATATCATCTTATGTCCCCATTGTTGCGTTGGTGACGCACAGCTCACCGAGTTTCTGAGTTATTGTCGTACATGGCGCCTACCTCAGCACTCAGCTGGGGTGATGGCTTGACACGGCCATGGCGTAGTCGCCCGGAGAGTCGCCACGGTTTGAAATCAGCGAAGCTTGAGCACAGGACATTGCCGTTTTGGACTGATCTTCACGGGATTCGTGTGTGAGAAACGATTGGGAAGATGGGCCAACTTTGAGGAAACAAGGGAATACATGCATATATTATATATGTATGAATATAAACATAATGATATATATATATATATGTATAGCATACAAAAATACTGTAAGCATCTGTAAGTAATAAACCGGGGGACATCAACGCTACGAACATTCTGTGTGCTCCTGGAGTCACCCCCACGCCAAAAAAAAGGCCAAGAAAAAGGCCAAGGTGTAGGTGCACTTGGTGCAAAAATCTATGGAAGCCCTCCGGTTTGTAAGTATAGGGGTTCGTAAATGCCAAACAGCTATACACAGATTCTCTCTCTCTCTATATATATATACTTATGCACATGTATATATGTGTATGCATGTATATATATATATATATATGTATATATATATATATGTATGAATGCATGTATGTGTATATATAATCATATATATATATATATCCGTGTGTGTGTGTGTTTTGTATATCCATAACAAAAACTCAGCAAACCTGGCTGCAAACCAACCAAACTGTCGATTGGGAACCACACCACGTACCCCTCCGGAGCGGCGCTGGTTTGAAGGATGCCATCCAGACCGTGAGTCTCTCTCTTTCTCTATTGCCATCTAGTCAAGTTCAGACAGGCCCAGTCACACGCATATGTATTTGCATATATATATATATATACATATACATACACTAATATGTATACATATATGATATTTTATGCTATACTATCACATTATAGCCAGTAATGGGAAACAAAACTTAAACAATATTGCCAGCAGTTCTATGTAAAAGGGTCATATACTGACAAACTAGCAACTGGGATGCACATCACATGTAAAGGTATTAACGGAAACTCGTAAGATTTGGGCCGCCAAATTGCCCAAAATCTGGCAAGACATACACGACAGTCAGGCACAAATCTCTCATGTCATGAACTCATTAAAAATATGTCTATGGCTTGGTACATTCATATGGCATATTTTGGTAATTTTTGGTAGATCTACGACACATCTATGGCATATCATGGCACACACACATACGACATATAGATATATATATATATAATACATATGTATATGCATATACTGCACGGATCAGCACATGCTTTGTCTATAGGTATATCTGAAAATCTACCTCTCTGTCCATCGCCAAATGGTTTCAGCAAAGGCTGAAGGAGAGATGCATATCTGCATATATCTGCATATCTGGCGAATGTTTGCTTTTTCCATGTTGGTCAATAAAACGGCATGGAAATCTTGGTTGGTACCCTCTGGTAATTTAACATAGCTAGAAAAATAATGGCCCAGTCGAAATAGTGAGTTTTCCCATTAAAAATGGTGGATCTTTCCATAGTAAGGTAAACGTTTACCGGAGGGTAGGTGCCTCTATCATCCTCCATTTTTTTATGGCTTTGCCCGTTGGAAAACACGAAAAAAAGTGCCCTTTTGGGCACCGTGTATCCTCAACGATCAAGGACATTTCTGACGTGGTTTCCTAAAATGGGGTTACCCTCTGGTTATGACTAACATAGCCATGATATAGATGGCCCATTTATGGATTTTTATGGATGGTTTACCTAGCTATAAAACGGTGATTTTCCATGGCTATGTGAAATAACCAGATGGTACATCCTCCCAAATTATTCAGTTTTCGTATATTTAAAGTCTTGGGGATTCCCCTTGGGGGTCCTCCATTTCAAGCCCCCAATGTGTTGTCTCTCTATGCGTAGGCTCTGTCGTGTCTGCCCTGTCGTCTTTTTTGAATGCAATCGCAGTCGAAGGACCTTCCAACTGCATATGTTTGAAGTTCTACGATATATTTATATATACACCGAGTTACACCAAGCATTTCAAGCTGAATAGATTGTATATGAACATTTACCAACCCTAAAATATGGCGCAAGCGGAAATAAATAATTTTCAAAAAAAATAAATAAATAATTATATATATGGTGTTATGTCACTGTCAGCTATTTACAGGCGATACCGGCTATACCTACTAAATCTATCTAACTCCACCGAGATCTAACGCTTAAAAAAAATCCAGTTTCCCCAGGCATCTGCACCATCGGGCAGTGGCACCTGGAGAGGCTCACACCTCAGCCAAGCTGAGTCGCTCTGGCTTAGCTCAACCAATTTCAACGGGCACTTCCAAAGTCATCAGTTTCGAATTCCTGTAATCGTTGCACAAAGCCTTCAGTCAAATCATTTTATCATTTTATCATTTTAATGGGAAGAAACATCAGTGTTCCAGTGTTCCAGTGCAATGTTCAGTCAAACTAGTTTTCAAAAACAGTGGTCCATTCCAAGGCTACGTCTTGGATTGTCCCCTCCTAACTGTGGACAGTTAAAAATACGTAATACTGTTGATCAGCCGGCCATCCAAGATATTGGACCCTGTCAGCGGGCCATCAACTTATCCCCGGTGAGTTAACCAGGATCACCTTCCACAAAGAACATGATAAACCCATTGCCAAACAACAAATACCTCATTGCATCTCGTTGCCGGTGTTTTCGTTGAAATAGACTTGCCAGAAAAAAAAAACAGTTTGCCAAAAAGTACCATAATTCTGGGCAAGTTATAATAATTCACTAACCTGAATTAAGGCCATTTGGGGATGATTCCCCTTACTAACTATGATTTCCAGTGAGGTCGCAGTGAGGTCGTTATAATTTACCCAGATAATTACGCCTAGTCGACCACCTGAAATGACCCGAAGTTCTTCTGACCGCTTTTGTACTGGGGTCGTGACAAAGAAAGCCTTTCTGCTGACCTGCCAGCGCTGATGGGTAGCGTTTGAATCCAGGGATCATAATGATACCTACCCACAAACATCCATATAAGCAAAAGCAAACATAGTATATCAGAATAAGATCAGAATCACTAAACAAATACGTACAGTGCTGAACAATGGAGCATGGGTTGATACAGTTGATGCTGATACTAGAAAAATGATCCTAGAAAAATGATCAACATTTGTGGTCCCTGCTCTGATTTTTTGTGACCCATACTCACAACATCTCACAACTCATCAACATAAACGGCCATAGTCAACAAACAGACTGGAACATATCATGGATGATCAGCCGGCAAATCTTCGGACCTCTACCAGCCTGGGTGTCTGATTATTTTGATAACGATCATAAGAATAAGGACAATGCTTATGTAATATTAATGGCTAGCATTTCTTTGAATAACATGTTGGATGACATACCATTACAAATATATGGATAATATGTATATATATATATATATTATATATATATATATATGTGTGTGTGTGTGTATATGTATATATATATATATTGGACAATGCTTATCCTATTGTTCTCCTTACATTAAAAAAATACATCTGGATTCCTTGGGATGGAGGACGCCAAATCCTCAAGGGAACATCGGCACACAAATCCTCAAGTCAAGTTCACATATGTTTTTTAAAAAAATATAATCTATAATACATACATTATATACTATTTATGTACGTATGGCATACGTATTCAAATGGATAGGGCAGCCAAGAAAGCTGGTAGGGAAACCAATCACCCATTTATGGATTTGGTATGTTGAAGGTTCCCAGGTGGGCCGTGGAGTAACTGGAATACCCATGTAACCCAGTTCTGGGCGTTACTACTTCGAGTCGCAGCTGGGGATCACAGGAGTAGCGGTATCAAACCGCCGGGAAAATCCCGAAGAAACAACGGAGGTCTTAAATGTTTGGAAAATTCCTTGATGGAGATTCTATAGAGGGACAATCCCCCAAAAAACTTACTGGTGCTAAACGCGGGGAATTTTCGGGAAGGATCCCAGTCATCACTAGTAATGTCATCATCCCAGCAACCCCAAGCAACCCATCCATTCCCTACGTAAAACGCACCAGTAAGAAAAACAAGCCGCCATTTTCCAGCCGCCATTGGCGCCTGCGAGTCGGGCCGCCAAATGTACTCGTACTCCCCGCTCTTGGCATCAAAGGTGCCGTGCTGCAAGTACCTGCCAGGATGCGGTGCCGGGGGTCGAGACAAGTGATACCACATGATACGACTAGGATAGTTTTTGCGTAAAGAATGGGCCTATTTTTCCTATGACTAGTTGTATAAAATCAACAATAAAGAAATTTAATGGTGATTTAATAGGGATATAGTGGGAAACATGCCATTGGATACGCAAAACAAAGCAAAATAAAATAGACTTTTTTTTGATGCTGTCTGATTCGTTGTGATCGGATGACTGAGATATTTTTTCCCAACGCACTCTAGTTCAAAAGGGGAAATAACAGCCTTCCTAACCACTTCGCTAATTCTGGCAACATCTAGGCAAAGAATCGCTGAACACAACGGAAAAGGAGTGTGTATATAGTTTCCATTGCTCTGGCTGTATAACACGTCCAATAGTTTCTAGACATAGGATGATGTAGCTTCCTAAAATATCCCCCCAGTGATTGCCAAACAAATAATCTATACTACAACTCTGATTATTTAACATACCTATGGAAATCACATTTTTTCACCAAAGGTCTATAAATGGGCAATGTTTATAGTATTTTATAGTTACATATATACTTTAAAACCCTTAAATTACCAGAGGGTAATCCCGAATTATCCCACCCTGACACCAAGGTTAAGACAATGTTTTTCGACACGGAGCCGGGAGCTCACCGGCATTTCATGGTGAAGCGAGGCCCAATCTCCTGCAATTTGCACTTTTCGCCCTTGTCCTTGAAGGCGTACCTGCGCTACTGTACACCCAAAGGAAAGGCGGTCCACCCCAGTTATACCCTCCAGTATCCCTCCAGTAAATATACAAAACAGCGGGAATGATCCATACAATCATGGAGGACTTTGCTAGTCTACTGGAGGGTAAGCTGATTCAGTTGATCTATATATTATGTATTAATCAATTTTCAATATCTGACTGAATGCACAAATACCGGCCGTTACCTACCACAAAGCCACTTAAACTTCGCAACTTGACCATCGCTTCTGGGCAAGAATTGGAAACCTGGAAAACATTGTGACATGAGGTGAACATATGTCAAAATCATCTACATCACATGGAACAGTTGTTCTATGTTGTTCTAGCTCTCAGCTTTGGAGTTGTTCAGTTGTTCAGTCATTGCCTGGCTGGAGATACTCAAAATCTTGGAGTTGACCCCAGCCGTTGCCGGAGCTGCCTGTAATGTCTGAAGAAAACAAAGTCGCGCTGATTGTGGAAGGTGATTGTCCTCGATCGCACCAAACATACCAACACATCCCAAGAGCCCAAATTGCAGTTTTTCTTGCAAAATTTCCAAGGATCATCTCATCTAGTCTTAGTTACGTGCATGCAAGTGGCAATTCACCAATCAAAAAGTCCCAAAGATCAACAAAAGGAAACCTGCCCCATTCCGAAAGTCATGTTCCCCATGGCATGTCATGGGGCATTTCCAACTTTTTGGACCAACCAACACGGAGGAAATACAGTCCTTCTGCCCTCAAAGTCAGGCCTGGCCGGGCTCTGCCGGTCGAAACCCGAGTAGGCAGCTGTACTTTTTGGTTAACCACAAACACATGATACAACGTTTGCCATCCTGATGTGGCAGATTCTGGTTTCATATTAGGATTGATAGGTATTCAAGAACAAACACATGTATGTAAACATGGGTCAAAACATGCAACATATGTCTACTTCTCCTACACGTTCTGTCTGTTCAACCCATCGGAAGGGTAATATGTTCCCCTCACAGAGTAAAACCGGTCCGAAGGATTCCTGGGTTGAGGATAGCTGTCCCACATCACGAAGTTTTTGTTACAACATGTTACAACTTCGTCACTCAAAAACTGCCAGCCATGTGTGAACTATCCTGAAGTTGGGTGCATCCCAACTTTACCCTCCAGAAAATTAACAATTCGACCCTGCCCAATAGGAGTTCACTAAAAATTGGTGATTTTCAGGGGCTATGTTAATTTACCAGAGGGTAAGTTGGTCATGTATTGCTACTTCGATGCATCCCACTTACGATCCGTGGTTTATAATCCCATGCGTAGCCCATATTTCATCCCATATATTCCAGTAAGGATATTCCATTATATAATCTAACCGGGGTTTTGGCCCATTTACGAAACGTTGGATCTAATATGATGTAGTAGATCTAATAAAAATAGATGATGAATTAATCTGTAATTTAAAATCCCATGACGGATCCGGCTGGTGCTGGTATATTAATGCTAACAGCCATAAGGGGTTTTTGTTGATGGGATCCATGGCACACCATATATATAACATATATACCATATATACCATACATTGTTACTATTGGGTTATTAATATATATGGTATATATTGGGTTATATTGTTACTATTGGGTTATTAATATACCATCATATGGTTATTTATCAATCAACTAAAATATCAAATAGTTATTAATGTATATTAATCATCGATCGGCCAGCCATTTTCGTATCGCCTCTGCGGGAACAAGGCGGCCAACTGCCGCGCCAGTCGTCGACCTAGGGCCGGGTTGTCAGGTTTTTCCTTGGAATGTCATGGAGCTACCCCCAATAGCCCAATAGCAGGTTTATTTAATGGAAAATCAAACAACAATATAGATGATAACTGAAGCCGTATGACTTAGGAAACCTGCATATAGAGATAACCATTGGTCAACTAGCAGTTTCTATGGAAAACATGGCCCATTGAGTTCGTTGATTTCGCAGAGATTTCCCTGTTCAAATGGTGATTTTCCATAGCGAACTGTTTAGTTTACTAGAGGGTAACCATTGGTAAGTTGGGGTTTACTGGTGGTTTAATGTATGTATATATATATATAGATATGTTTATATAATGTATACTGTGCATGTATAAATGTAAATATAAACATAACTATAAATAATTATAAATAATATGTGTATATATATATATATGGGTATAACGTGTTTCACCGCCCCACCCACTGTTTTCAAGTATTCTATATGCGCACATTTCCCAGCAGCTGTGCACGTTTCACAGAAGCTGTGCACATGTCACAGAAGTTGTGCACGTTTCACGAGCCCCCTAATAACGTTCGTGTTCAACTGTATACACACTGAGCGCATTCTAATCAGCAAAAGCTTTGGGGCGACCAAACACGTTCTCCCGATATATATATATATATATATTATATTATATTATATATATATATATTATGTGTGTGTGTGTCGAAACAAAATGTAATATAAAACTAACCATCTCATAGTCGAACATGGCTGGCTGGAAAATCATCCAAAAAAATGTTTTAAAACCTTGATAGACAAATCATCCATAAAACGGGTGATGTCCAAGCCAAGTCTGATTACCAGAAACCAGTGACGCTGGTTCTATCATGAAGATGGTGATGTATTTTTTTGTATGGCGAAAAAAACATGAACACCCCCCAACCAGTGAACTCGGGGATGGGCAAACATCAGGCTCCTGATCCAAGGTAAAAATGATCCCAAATCATCAGTGGCTCATGATCAGGCTCATGATGCACGTAGATACCTACAATGTGAGGCCCCCACGATAGCGTTCAGTTCGTTAACTCCAATAACTATGGTTTATGGTACGCAAAAAACTATATATATATATGGATTGATAACTATGGTTTATGGTACTTATAACTATATATAGATGGATTGATAACTATGGTTTATGATGGTTTATGGCACTTATAACTATAGTTTATCCTAGACGGATTGATCCACAGCTCTGGAAGCACGTTGCGGGTTTTGGCTTTACCTTTGAGCCTCCGGGCCCAAGCGAGTAACAAACTGATTCAGGATCAACTCAGGGTTGTGACCTGGGAACGATATGGCGGCGGCCAGCAATTTTTGATGCATACTTTGATGAAACTCAAAGAACAGCCTCCCAAAAAAAGAGGAAACGTTGGTACATGCTATTGAAAGAGTGCTAAACTTACAGTGCATTACAATGCCTGTTCTATCTTTTCGGGGGTTGCTACATTTTGTTGAACATTGACAAGAGGGAAAAAACTTACACAAATGATTACAGTGCCTGATCTTTTCGGGGGTTGCTACATTTTGTTGAACATCACAGGGGAAAAGGAAAACACACAAATGAAGAGAGAGAGAGAGAGAGAGAGGCCCATCATATCCACAAGCCACCTCTTAGATTAGATGTCAATCACACACATTGTGTAGCTACAGAAAAGTTCAAATACGCACATATGCCTTTCAATATGAACCAAAAGAACCCAAAGAAAATGGAGGGTCAACTTGAAACTCGCAGTTTCCAAAAAGAACCATTTACAAACAGATCTGGATATGTGTATTGTTTTTAGATGTAAGGGGATTTTTTTTCACTCACCACTTATCAACAAATATAGATTTTGACTATGAAGCATGGAGGATCTAAAAACATGTTGCGGGGATATTATGGGTATATTGTGGGGAGATTGGATAACAACACCCACAGATCTGAATCTGGGGCAACCTTGGTGAAGGGTAGTTTAGTATCTTTTAAATAACAACCCTCTAGTAAACTAGCAGTTTGCTGTGGGAAATGGCTCATTCATAGTTGTTAACAATCATTTACCTATTGAAATTGTGATTTTCCATAGCTATGTTACTATGTTAGTTTACCACAGGGTATATTGAAGTTGTTTTTCCTGTTTTGCTGGGGATATGCACCAACCAGCTGCAAAAAGTATGCCAACAATCCACCATTGGCGATTTATGCACATGAATAAAGGAAAATAAATAAATTCATAAATGCAAAACTACATATATATATATATATATGTATATATCTGTGTGTGTCTATCTATCTACAGGAATAAAGTATTACAAAATTACGAATAGATCCTCTCTCTCAAGACCATTGTTTCTTCTTGGTGCGCCTGTAATGCCTGTAAACCTTGAGTTTGCCCACTTTCGTGACTTTGGCGGTCCGAACCCAACGTTTCCATTTGAAAGCCTTCTTTTCTTGGGTCCGGCCAGTTACAAAAACAAACACAGAAAGGCGTCTGAGTTGGACGGTCCAACCTTGTTTTGCCCATCTCATAGCTTGGGGCTAATTCCACCATGTTTGGATAAACCCATCTCACTATTGTTGCTTAGTTATACCTTCCCGAATGAATGCCTATACATATATATATATAGCTTTAATATATATATATATATATGTGTGTGTGTATGTGTACCTTTAATATATATATATATAGATATTTAATATATATATATATACCTTCCGGGAAACGTGCTGGAAAATCTCTCCCATTTATAGTTGACGTTCCCAGCCAACAAAACCTCCATTTAGTTCAATGATTTTAAAGCCATGTTTGATCCTGTGTGCCCCAGGCTGGCGTTGCAGCTGGCCCCGCCCTTCATCTCTTGACCCAGCTTCAGTCGAGTGATACCTCGGCACCAGGCCAAGATTGTACAGTCGAATGGTAAGTTCCAGCTGGACTATCCAGGGATGAAACATGATGAAACAACAATTTGAACATACCACATAATCACACACTGCCCATATCACATCCCGTTCTTGATCATTCGTGGCCTAAGACTGTGCTGCACAAGATGTTAGTGTTCCCGGCTGCTTGGTTCAATGCTTGATTTTGTGGCGGAATGGAATCTGCGCTCCCTTTGATTTGCCAAATAGGGGCTGTTGGAATTCCATGTTGGGAAGAACGCTCATGGCCTTTTTAGATCGATGATTGACCCATGGTATTTTAATGTTCTAAGAGAAGGTTCAGATATTTTGGAAAATAATGATGTTCTAAGTAGTTGTCCTCAACTATAGAGGGTATATCCCATGATATTCCTATAATTCCATTATGTCCCAAAAGTTTTGCCAATTTTATTCCAATATGTTGAAACGTCAATAATCCCTTCCCCCTAATATTATACACTCCTAAGTGGTGTAAATTATGTGGAATTCCAATAATAAACCATGCTCTCTGGGGTGGTATTTTATTAGGGGGGTGGGGTTATATATTCCACTCTCCTCCATTCAACATTAAAAAAAACATATGCCGAAAGCTGAGCCCCTGAGGAGTGGACGCCAGTAAGAGGTGGGCCCTGCGCTGTCAAAGGAACACAGTAGCAATCGCCAATCGCCATTCGTGCCAACCCATCAGTTGCGGTTCTTTGTGGTTTTTATTAGCGGGAAAATGTGTTGAATGCAGCATATAATCCAACTATGTTTTTCAGTTGTCTTTTTGAATTGGTTGCCCAAAATGTGCACACAGATTCACATAGATTGCAGTGTGCACCCGGCATACCGGAGAGTATCCAAACAATAAATGGGTCATACCTTTGTACTTTAGTTGCTATCCAGTTTCTGATACAATGTGCCGCCTCATTTTTGTCACGAGGCTTCTCCCTTCGCAAAGAGTCGCCACCACCCGGTGGTTGCCCGGTTGCTATAACCAAGTGTCATCCTTTTTACTGGTTTGATTAATAGAGCTTCACAATTCAATCCCAAACACGCACGAAAATATTACAGAGGAACAGGGTGTAGTCAAACACTTATATCTATATAAAAAAAATGTAAATAACTATATATATATATGTATAGAAATATGTATATATATATATATACATATACACATGGGGTGTAGTAAAACCTCCTACGATCAACCAACAAAGACTTTCAACAGGGTTTTGGACACCTCTCGGCGGAGTTTACCGCGCCTTTGGGCAAGTGCGAGATGTAGACACCTTGCCTCGAGAAATCTCAGCTATAGCCCCTTCCCCTTAATATTAAATCCCCGAGAAACAATGGTTTTTTTCTAAGGGATTTACAGATATTTGGACCCTAAGGGCGTGTGAACTTTCAGATGTTAACTTTCAGTATCCCAACAAATCCCCGTGGAAGACAATGTTTTTATCGTTTCCCAACAGGTGGGGGGGGCTTTTTGGATGTCAGAATTCTTCAGGTCCTACATCACCAAATTCTATGCACTACAAAATCGACATGGTGAAGATGGGGCGCCCATGGGCTGATACAATTTGTTGTTTTACTTGTAAATGCGTACCCCCTGGCAATCCAAGATAGCTATGGAAAACCACCATTTTGCCAATAGGTAGATCACTTACAAACGTGCCATTTTCCATAACTATCATTAGAAGATTACGGGAAGGTAATCACCATCTTAGTTCACCCTTTTAGAATACTTATGAATATTAAAACTTAAAGTTTGTAGCAAGGGTATACCCGGGCGATTGACCGCTGGTGCCCATGGGTCACGCCGTGACGCCACTGCCATCCCAGGAAGTTCTCCGTTGTATCATTTCCCATCCCAGTGGGAATGACACTCAAAAGGAATGCCAAAAAACCTGAAAGTACAAACCTGAAACATTGCTTACATGACCACTTTCCTTGGTACCAAATCCCAATTTCCATCGGTTTTCTGAGCTAAAACACACCCAGAAATATTTTTGTTGGATTGAAATCATCCACCATTCAAAAAAAAAACATCAAAGGCTGGATTTTAAACATCAGTCCCAATTGTCCCAATAGAAAAAACATATTTCCAAAACTAGGATTACAAATATATGTGCATATATATATACATATGTATGTATAGATACACACTAGATAGATAGATAGATAGATAGATAGATAGATCGATCGATCGATAGATAGATAGATAGATAGATAGATATAAACATATATATATAGATATATAAATTATGTACATATCCATATATATATATATATATTATAACATTATATAACCCAAATTACCCCAAATCATCCAAGTCATTTAGACCCATTGAGTCTTGAGATCCATTTTATCCATTTTTACTTGGGGATCATTTAAAGAAACCGGCTTCTATAACTTCCACAACCAACAAAACAACATCTCTCAAAGCGCCGTGTCAACTGCCAAGTCCCCAACAACACTTGGGCTTTCTCATGGAAGAGCATCACATCTGTGAAGTCCTGCAGGAAAACATTGCCGTCTTAAGCAGAACACTGATGGATTTTAGTATTTTTTAGTTGGTTGAATAATTTAGTTATTCATACCTAATTAGACCCTCCAAGTACCCCAAAACAAAATAGGATAAACCATGGCAAAACAACATTTAATTATAGCAACTTAGCAGCTACTTGGTTGGTGGATCTAGCTAACCCCACCGCCTTTCGCCCCACCCTTTTCTTTTACGAAATCAGTCACGTCACTATGGGACTGAGGTCAAAGTGTTGGATTTCTGCAGCTGATGAAATCAGTGCTTTTTACTTCAAACATACATGTATATATATATATATATGTTAATATGCATATGCATGCAAATGCGTGCATATATGTATATCTAACTAAATAAATGGAGAACAATAACTAAACAAATAAATGAATAAATAAATAAAACACACACACACATTATAACTATATATATATAATATATATATATCCGCGCTGAAATCCAAATTTGTTACTTGAATTAGATGACGAACAAAGTGACGAGCCATGGATCACCCCTGCACGGTCAGCCAGGCAAGGCCAGGCTGGGCGGTCCCTATTGCTGGCGTACTCGCAAATCTTCTTGAAAGGAAACTCTTTGCCTGACGGAAACAATGGACTGGTGACCTCCTGAAGGAATGTTTGAAGGAACATCGGAAAGCAGCATCTTTCAATGGTTCTGTTAATGTTTCTTGTTCTTTTGATGCTAAAACTAATGTCACATATCCATATATATATATATATATCCCCAAGTTATCATCGTTTGTATGGGTGGGATTCCAACACTCCCCAAAAGGTAGGGTTTTAGCATTGGGTTTACCACAACAACAACTACGTGTTTTCCTGTTCACCATTATTTGCGGAGGAGTGCTGCAACATTTCCCTTTCAACCAATGGGAGACGCGGGCTACCTCGGCCACCACCTATGCTGCTTACCTCACTACTTGGTGGATCATGCATGGCTGATCTGATTGGAACTGTTGAAAAAAAACACTAGCCTTTGGCAAACACAGGTGTACGAAACCAACAAAAACCATGGAGGATCTACTAAACCAATGATGCGCGAATAACTGTGAGTCAAAGTCATCGAAAGATATGGTGATCCCGTTGAAAACTCTCGGCCAAGATGCGTGGGTAGTAGAAACAGTTGGGGATGACGCAAACCAGCTCCTGAACACTCGGACCCAAAGGCCTTTGGACAAGAGTGGGGCACCTTCACAAGGCGATAATTGACTGCCCAATGTCGGTGTGAGAGCCTTGCACTTCAAATTGCTGCTAAAATAACGCGGTAGGCTTTGTATTCGAACTGCAACTTCCACCGGCAATCAGACCATGACAGCAAACACTTAGAACTTAGAAGGGCCATGTTTGAATTGGGACAAAAACATCCATGAAAATAATGCGCTCCCGTAATCTAACATATGGGCAACCGCCATGAATAATTACCATGAATGTAGATCATGCTCCAAACAGGAGACTATGGATGTTCATAGATCAGGCCTTGGCGTACGAACACCTGGGTGAGTGGAGTCCATGCGCTAGCAAGGACCCCCAAGCAACAAACATACCCATACAAAGAGGTTCTATGAACAAACAATGTAGATCTACAATATATATCACTATGCATGTGTGATACACATGTATATATGAAATACTATACGTATATACATGCTTAACTACTTACTAATCTAACATCTAAAGCAAAGTGTCGTCATCCCAAAATACCCTTCGGTTAGGTACTGTAAATCATGCCAAATCATCGAACTCAATGACGTGGCTTCGCAAACTGCTGGGCTTACCGGCTTCCTGGAAACTATTCACCAGTTTTCGTTGTTTTGCTTACCTGTTGGTAGATTAACATACTTAGTTCTGGAACATCACCATGTTAGAAAAAGGTAAATCAACAAACTAAATGGCCATGTTCAATCGTTTCAATAGTTATCAATAATGCCAACATCGGATTAATCAACCCCCCCCCACCCCCCCCCAGAAGGTCAGAAATCTACCTTATAGGTCCCCCCCTTAAACCCCCCTTAATAATAAGCAACTCTGAACCATAAAACTTTGGATATGGCTTACGTCAATTAGATCTTAATAGAATTCCATTGGATTTGTTAAAATCTCATGGATCAGAAAGGTGGTTGATTAATCAGGGGCAAACCGTGGTTATTATTAATGGGGGACATGGGCTCATGGGGGGTACCCTTTGGGAGCTATCCAAACTGATGATTTTTATAAAGATTTTAATTAGAAATCGATCATTTGGGGAATAGTTGTTTTTTGAAATTTTCAATGATCAACTTAAACCTTAAGTATAACAATGATGATAAAACAAAAAATGTAAAAAAAAACAAACAATTGGAAATAAATAGAATTGGAAATAGAAATTGTTGGATAAAAAAATGATTTCAGCACAGGGTGTTGATTAATCATGTCCCAGCCAAATGGTTTATTAATCCTGGGGGACCACCTTTTAAATTACATTTTTTTTGGGGGGCAGAGGGGGTTGATTAATACCGCTGGGATTATTAATCCTAACTTGACATTAGCTATAATAGTGAGTTTACCGGACAGTAACAGCCTCATCTTCCGGTTTCCTTCAGGAACGCGTACATCTTTCGACTGGGTTTCTTCTGGGTGGTCACCAAGATCTTCCTCATGGATCCGACAGCTGGTGACCCTGGTGATGGTAAGGTCTTATACACATCACTACCCTTTAACAGGGGGGGGCATACCAAAGTGATTCCAACATGAGTGTAATGATGATAATGGGGTTACTATATCATCCTTTGGATGTCCAAGTATGCAATCCAACATGTCTTTTAAAAGGGCAGAAATAGGAAATCATGATAGACCATGGGATATGGGATTGGGTACACTATTTTCAGACAAACTCATGTCCTAGACTTGATTCAAGGGAACATCTACAGGAGACCCTGATTCTTGGAGTAATAAAGATCAATAACTTCCGCTCGGTTTTACCTTCAAAGCAGGGACTATGGGCTGTGGTATCTTTAAGGACCAGTTGGCGAATATTGAGAATTGATCATGTTAACCCAGGAATAATGCCCTGATTTATTCATGAAGGTGCCTTATTTTCATGAGGGTGCCTAATTTTCATAGCACTTCTTCAGAATTTTGGGAAGCCACTGATTAGCAAAGTGGGTGTATTCATCCGGGGTTGACATTAGAGACTACGCTACCGCAATAGGTCTTGAACAGAAAACCGCTGTTGAAAGTCCTACGCCCAGAGCATTAAGAGTATCACAGCAGGACATTTCTTTTGGGTCTTAAAAAAGGCTATAGGTCATATCTTCCCTTCTGAACTAGACTTAGATTTGAAAATTTTTGTAAATCTTGGGATCCCAAAAAGTCAAATGCCAATGCGCAAAAGGAAAATACATGAGACGAATGTTTGAAAGCCTTCATGTCAAATTAAATAAAACTCAGCAATTTGAGAAATGTTTTCTCCAGAACCGTGTAAGTAAACATACATATACATATATACATATATATTTCTATATATATATACACACATACTGTCACCGTACTTGAATAAGTACGGAAGGATGTGAGATACAACTCTCACAGGGGAGACAATCACATACAATTTTGCACATGGACAGAAGTTATGCAGTGACATGATGAAATCTCCAAGAACCGCCAAGAAGTTCAAGGCCCAGATCCGCCAAACAGATTAAAATCAACTAGATATGGTTCATTTAGAAGAGTGAAGCTCAGAAATTATATCTTCCACCCCAATCAGTTCTCTGTATATATATATATACTTCTCATATAATTCGTTGAACTACACGTAATAAATATCATGATTATTATGAAATAATGAGAGCATAAATAGCAGGGCACCTTTGTTGCCAACCTCAAGGCCTCGAGGATCTGAAGGGTTGACGCGATCTGAGTGCAGCGCGGTTTCTTGCCTCCCTGGAAATACTTCCTCGGTCGAGGGGACATGCGCAGGCTGCCTAAAGGCCGCAGCCACGTCTTGACAGCTGGAGTCAGAAAATGCTTATTTCAAGCAACCCTCCGAATAATGACCTACAAAGTGTGGACCCCAACTTTTGAACGCTCTTCTACCCATCCTACTGCAGGTATATACGCCATGATCCATCCATTATCCTAGTAACTTACCTCTATGGTTTTGGGGCCCCGCAATCGGTGCTGAGTGGCTCAAATTCGTCCATTGCCTCATCTTCTTCTACCTGGCTTGGGAATCCTACCATCCCAAGGTATGGCTGGGAATTTTGAGGGAAGAAATGCAGTTTGAGCCGTCGGTTCCTGTTTATATTTATCATCTGCTTGTAGATTTTTAATTTGCGGAGGTGTATGTGTGGGTCAAATCCATCTTTTTCAGAGGTAAATGCAGAGTTTGGACCCTGACATCTAGATGATTCTTGGCCGAATGCAGGTTTTAAACAAGTCTTTCCTCACCTTTTCTATCCTTTTCTGGTTGATAACCATCAGCAAGTGGTTATCAACCACATCGATTTTATCCCACGCCTCACTATCATCAGCAGGGACAATGGTCTCGTCAGGCCTTGGATGGAAACTTTCCTGTACATTGAGCATTTAAACCAAAAAAACATGATAGTGGTTAATAGTGGTTAATAGCAGCTAATAGTGATTACTAATGGTTACTAATGGTTAATACATAATGATGTAAGACAGCTGTGCCACGTTCGTTGGATTGTTGAAAATCACCCACAGGGCCTTAGTCATGTGGATGCAACCAACCAAAATGGTGAGGACCTCTCTCGGGTTTTTACGCATTAATGGCAGTCCGGACAATCGCTGCGTCTGGTGAGGAAATCACATATAACACACACACATATATATATATATATATACTGGTTGGCGGTTTCAACCCCTCTGAAAAATATGAAAGTCAGTTGGGATTATTATTCCCAATGTTTGTCTGCCTTTCGCAAAAGAATCAGATCGCTTATTATATAAACCCTTGTTAAAGAATAGCTTTTCCACAAATTTCCAAGGCACTGGACTATGAGAGGGCAATTTGGTAGGTTTGTTCCCAGGGTTCGCAATTGCAGCAAACTTTTCCAGAGCTGATCCTGGAGCCAAGAGAAGAAAGGAAGGCCTTTTCCAAAAGCAATTACCAAGTTCAAAGTCCAAGCCTTTCCCAAAAGAATCAGATAGCTTATTAAACCCGCTTTAAAGAACAGCTTTTCCACGAATGTCCAAGGCACTGACCATGAGAGGGCCCAATTCACTTTATTAGGTTTGTTGCCTAGGTTCGGAATTATATACAGCAAACTTTCCGGAGGTGATCCTGGAGCCAAGAGAAGACAGAAAAGCCCGTTATATTTTACAAAAGCAACCTTCTCTTCCTCCTTCCTCTTTCTCTTCCTTTTCCTCTTCCTCTTTCTCTCTCTCTCTCTCTCTTTTTTCTCTTTCTCTCTTTCTCTTCCTCTTTCTCTTATTACACCTTTACTAAACAACTTGAGGTGCAAAAGGTAACGCAACCAACATGCTGAACCCCACTCACAACAAGTACTACCAGTACTACAAGTACTACAAATATAACAAGTTTTTCGGCAAACACAAATAATTAGATTTCAATTGTCGTCAATTAAAATCCTTACTTCAATGTAGGATCGGTTTTTTCTGGGGCCTGGGGAACAATGAAAAAAACTTTAAAGAGGGTATAGCAGTCGTTTGAGGGATTCAGGACGGAACATTGGTTGGAATAGCCCAAACTCAAACCTTTATAAACCATCCGCAGCACTACAGTTCACTACATTCAATGCTTGGTATTGAAAAAACACATGGGAGGTTTATGGCATTGGGTTTGCCACATTTCATGAGATACGATAAAACAAACGCCAGCGACAGGCTTTGACCATCCGAGTGAAGGGTATCCCCAAGTCACCACGAGTTTCAATACTAAAATGGTCTATAATGACTTGGATGATTTGGGGATACTCCGATTTTTAGAAAACCTGATGTCAAACCAAGAAAGACTTGAGACCACCAGCCATCTGAATCTGCATCTGGAAGATGCACCTTGCCATACCATGACAAAAAGTCTAGAGATTCCCCCCATGCCTTGACACTTTCTGTCCCTTTCTCCAAGATCTTTGCCAGAGCGCAGGTTTTAAACAGTATGAGCTTTGCATCTGGATGGCCCACTGCCCCAAGGGATCGTGAATCAGAGCGGTGGTCTCGTAGAAACCCTGGCTTTTGGATCTATTCATTCTGGGGCTCATCTGGGGATGTTGATTCCAGAATTCTTGGATACCATTGGGTGAACTAAGATAACAATGGAAAATCACCGTTTTTAATGGGTGAATCAACTGTAAATGGCCAGTTTCAACAGCTATGTTTGTTTACCAGAGGATACTTTTTGAGGGATCCCAAAACGAAATTCAGTGAACCTCCAAATATTGTCTATGCAGCTAGCTACTTGCACCGTGCCACCCATGCACACGGTTGGCACAGGGGTGGCAAACACACACACACAGTGATGATAGAAAGTCATCATCTGGACTTTCACACCTCAATCTCCAAATGCTGAAAATCCGTGGTGAGGACCAGCAAGGCACCGAGTGTCTGTCCAGCACCACCAGTTTTGTCTGCATCCTGATATTCTTTGGGCAGATCAAAAGTAATCAGAGCATTTCCTGACAGGGTTTCTCCCAACATCCCCCACAGTTGGTGAACAAACAGCCACATTTACCTTTACCTTTTTACCATCCCTTATTTCTATCTATATATTTCTATCTATTTCTCATGTTTATATTATATGATCTGTGGCTGCCAGGTGATCCAATGTGATCCAGGTCCTGAAGTTGGCGCATTTCCAATGCTATGCAGGAAGACGCAGGTCCCACTCAAGCCCTCCGGCAGGCTCTGAGGGAAGACAGCCAAGGCCTTAGTCCTGGAGGTTTCCATTCGGAAGGCTTCGAAGGATTTCAGCACCTTCACCTTGGAGCCGATCTTCAACACCTTGCCATTGCCTTGGCAGCTCGGGTCAAAATCCACAACACATCTGTCTGAAAATTGGTGATTTAACATGATTTAACCACCCAAACGGTAGTTTTCATACCCAGCATTGTAGATTCTCCATTTCTGGTGGATTAATCGGAAAAAACAAAGAAATCAGTGACTCAATCCGGGTTGCCTGAGGGATACAGCCATTGCGTCACAGCGCCCATATTCTTTCCACCGAGCCATGCGACCATTCGCTCGCCCGTCTTGTAGTAACCTGATTTGCCCAACTTTTTCCCAACAGCACTTAGCACAACTGGGATCATCTTATATCTGAGAGAGAGAGAGAGGTATATATATATATACAGTATATTATACATATATATATATATACATGTGCACATGGTTCTTTCCGGTATCTGCTTGAAACAAACACAATTTCGAACACACACGCGCACACATTTACATGTATGTATGTATGTATGTATGTATGTATGTATGTATGTATGTATGTATGTATGTATGTATGTATGTATGTGATTATGTATGTAATTATGTATGTAATTATGTACGTATGTATGTATGTATGTATGTATGTATGTATGTATGTATGTAGGAGCGTTTATGCACATATCTATATACAATAAACAATTTCAAATAGCATCACAACAAATACAAGCTACTATATATAATCAACACCATATATATATATATACATACATGTGTGATCCTATATATACCGCAATATACCGCTATCAAAAAATATAATGCTTACATATGCACCAACCAGCAACTCTTGCTCTGCACCATCTTGCCGTCTTCGGGTTGAAGGATCATGCCCTGGACGTAGTTTGCCTGAGTATTGCCTCTGCCCATAGCCTCGGCAGAGGTGACTAAAATGAGCGACCAGAATAAAACCACCCAAAAAAGAAGGATCTTTAGCCACCAAAAAATGGGATTAACCCACAAACATGGGGGATTTAAGCCACAAAAAAAAGGATTGAATAGGATTCAATCATGAAATATCATGAACATCACCCATTTCTCCATGGCCTACTGAATTAGATGCCATTCTAGCCCAGGAAACTTGGAGTTTAGGATGATTGAACTATGGTTGAATTATTGAATTACGATGGAACTATATACATGTAAATGCCTGCTTCTAGCCAAAGGAACTGCTTGCAGGAAACCCAATCGTTTTTGAAGATCGAACAGGGGGGTGAAACCTGTAGACTTGCCTTCAGTTCAATTGTGGGGTCCCAAACATGGCTGAATCTTCCCCATCAATTCCCAATGGAACAAAGAAGGAATTTCCCACAGCAAGGGCAGGGGGCTCCTGCCATTTCGCCCATTCAACTCTCGGAAAATCAAAGAGAGTTGCTTCACACCGAACTCTTCCAACTGGCTGGCCCTTTGGATTCTATACTAACTGGAGGCCAAAGTAAAATTGAAACTGGGCAAGTCCCGAGGTGTTGATTTTATCCCTGAATTTTCTTGGCTAAACCATCCAATTAGATTTTGCTTACTGAAATATAAGACTTAAATTAAATCATGAACATCACCTATGTATGGCACATTTTTAGATACCGTTGGAAAAAAGTTAAGTTGTTTTGTTTTTTCCATCTCTATTCAAAGCTGGTTGGTGGTTTTAGCCATCTTGAAAAATATGAAAGTCAATGGGAAGGATTATCCCATATAATATATTATGGAGCATAATCCAAATGTTTGAAACCACCAACCAGAAAGCGTTCTGAAGTTGGAAAAAAAAAACGTTCAGAACTGACCCGCCGGGACGCGATCTTCAGTGATGGGTCGATGACCCTGTCCTCCGCAATCTCCGAAGTCACCTGGGTGGGACCACTCTCCGCACTGCCATCGAAGGGAGTGGAGTGCACCTGGCTGGAGCACCCAGCTGGGTGAACTAATGTGTCCCTAGGGGTCCCTAGGGGTCATGGTAGCACAGTTACATATATCATACAGTTAGTACTATGGTTCATCATACAGCATTATAAACCAACATCACCGGGCCAACACCTTGTACCAAGGAGCCATTGATGGAAAAGCCAGGGTTGGGAAGGAACATGCGACAGGTTGTTCTGCAAACATTAGATAGAACAATGGTCTCTGACAAGTTCAAATAATTTCCAGGTGTGCAGCTTTGGTGGATCTATCTTGGGTCTGCTCTTTTCGGGCCACTCAGACTCAAAATAAGACTTGAAGCAATATGAAAGAAACAAGTTGCAAAAGAATGAAACTTCACCAAACATTGGATCTCAACTGTGGGAAAATTCTTCAGCAGCAGCTGCATTTTTTTGGAACAACCGTGGAATCCTTTTATTGAAGACCGCCCGGCCTTGATGTATGACTGCAAGGACACAGTGCCACCCATGATCCAGTGCTCCGGTATCTTTTTAGAGAACATCTCCTCGGAGCTGGATCGGGCCAAAGGAGATCCCCTGAATACCCTCTGGTAATTTGTTACAATTTGCTATTGAACATGGTCCATTTATAGTTGATTTAGAGATGGTGATTTCCCATAGCTATGTTAGTTTACCACAGGGTAACAGTGGTATATGACCCCATAACCTGCCTTCAGGAATCCACCATCTAAGATGTCACCCAAAACTATGCCCTTTTTCATGCAGGAACTCATCTTTGAAAGCCAGTGGATTTTGATGTCCAGTGCTGAGGTTTCAGGATATCTCAGCGAAACATGCTGTAAACGGTACAACATTGACGTTTAGGCATATGTGCTAGGGTCAGAACATAGTATATGGGTCCTGGTCATCCATCCCCAGAATCCGAATCTAGCTAAATCCCAACATGATAACGGATGCAATGAAATCGATCTGTCGATCTGTCACCAGGCTGCTGCAATGCCATTGATTCCCGCGTAGCATGAGTCAAGGAAAACGGTCGCATGCATGGTGAGCTTGATGTGGAGAGTATCTACCAGTGCCATAGAGTCGACACTTTTCACCCCGCTGAGGTAAATCATCCTGCGGATAACTGGCGTTGAGGAACGACGAGAATGGGGAACCGGGGAACCATTCGAAGCATGAGGATATTCCTTAACCAACAAAAAACATGGGAAGTGAATTTCAGCATCTGAGAAATTGATGAACTTCAATAGTAATTGAACTAGTGGGACTACAAGGGTTTCGAACATCTTTGAACATCAGGATTTCTGTGGATCCCACCATGGTTTTTCCTGGGCTTCGTCCCCGTAACCGCGGTGACCCCAACAACATCCACCACTGATATT